TATATATATATATATATATATATATATATATATATATATATATGTACATTAACAACAAATTAACAAAATTAACAACAAATTTGTTCAATGTTATCCTGTATTAATTGGTGTACTTTAGTCTTAGTGCATAAAAGGGGTCTTGCTGATCATGCTGATCAGGAGTTTTGGATATGTGAAGTAAATGTATGATATCCTCAAGACTTTCCTTCTTGTGAGGATGATCTGTATCTGTTACCCTTATTCAAACAGCTATGTCTCTGTTACCTTCTATAGCTATTCAAAATATTAGTGTTTTTATAATCCGTACTGAATTAATGATCCTGGTTTACATTACATGTTACAAATTATTCGATACGGATAAGATCCAGGCAGTGTATGGACTTGACTCGAATATATTTGAGCCTACATTTTAAGTCCGACCATTTTTAATGCATTAAGGGACAGGAGCAGGGCTGATCGTGGTGGTCTATTTTATACATGCTCTGTGATAGTTGTATTTATTAAACTCTTATTTCAAATTATTTCAGTACTACATTCATCATTTTTATTACTGATTTGAACCGAATCATAAATCAAAGATCCTATGTCTAAATTTCTAAATTTTGCGGATGGAATTGCAGGCGACAATTTCAGCACCATTAGGAATCTCGGCTACACGATCATACAGCACCTCCTGTACTGTGAAGTACATGTTAATCATTATCTGGGTAACATAATATAGTTTGAAATACCGGTAAGGTCGTTATCGGAAATTGCTAGTTTTTGATGATCCAAATAGGAAGAAAGGAAGTATTTCTGGACATAATCAATTAGTGCAGGAAAAAAGGATGCACTTGAGTGGGTATTTATTAATACCGATAAAAATACACTGAATCGATCGAAATTTATGATTTCGATGATTTTACTTTTAGAAATACTTCGGGCAAGAATAAAAATCAAGGCTCTTGATATGTTGTATTCGGTCTGTGGGAATCTTTTTCAAATTTAAAATTCTGCTAAGGATACTCACCTGTACGAATGGGCAGAATCTATGAATGCCATCAGAGCCGTAGAAATTTTGAAACTGTGATCTTGACAGTATTTTGAAATGATGGGCTAATGTGCGAGCCTAAACAGTAGTGAAGGTGAATGAATGGAATGAAGAAAGAAGTAAAAGCGTCAAGTTAGCATATTTAGAATGTTTCAGCAAATAACATCAAAGATGAACCTTGGCCATCTTTATAATCTTATGGTAATCTGCCACATTCATCTCTATGCTTAATTCACTATCATCCAAATAATCAAATTCATAAATTAATCTGAGGCCAATCATCCAAAGCAAAATGTGTCATTCACATATCGAAAGTTAGAAAATGATACTAATTACTACAGATCAGGAAAGTACGATACCCGTAATCCGAATGTTATCTTGGAAGTACGAACGTGTGACAACATGTTGCATCTCACTGGTACCATCGTGAATATTGTACCATTTGAGAAGCAAACCTAAAACTCTCAGAATTTTTGAATGATTATTGCTGCTATTTCCATTTCACTCGTATATATCATACAAATAATTGTTATATTACTACAAAAAACAAAAAAGAATTGCTTCATACCATTAATTATTTAATATCAGGTTGATTAATTCCTGCTACTTATTGTCAATATTTAATGACCTGATATGAAGTATTCGACTAACAAATAATTAACTTCTATCCTGAATCACTATTCTTTTGCAGTGAATATGACTCATCGTAGAAACTATAAATATCTATATCCATCCGTCCTTTATACCGCCAGATGTCAAAGTGTATTTATCAATGGAAGTATTTTAAAACAGTAAGTCATAACATCCAGTAATGTTTATTTGTCAAGCAGTATGAAATGATTATGGTGATAATAATCAGTTAATTTATCCGTTCCCCTCACTTTTTCCTTTGCTAATTACTATATCACTGAATAAATACCACACCTTGTTGCTATAAATTTCATTTCACTTATTGAAAATTTTTATCGAAATGAAATGAATTTTTTTTTCTTGCATAATACCATGGAATTAGATTAGATGTCACAAGAAACATGACCCATAAATAATTATATGCTTATGCAGGTAGTGCTAGTGTTGATTTTGTTCCCCAGTATATTATGAATCACATCTGGCGCAGATGGATTGCTCAATCTCTTCCCTTTGTTATCCAAATTTTTCCTAATTTATGTTCTTCGGCTTCTTTTGTACTGTCAACTTCTCTGGTTTCAATTATTGTCATATGAACGTCAAAAGCATGTAATTGTATGCATATTCACCGATAATCCTCTCATTTTTTCCCCCCCGCATCGATAAGTAACAATTTGCCATCTGCTTAGGTTCCGGTTTTTCAAGTGTAAACATATCTTTATATCTACAGTAAACAGTTATGCCATTTTATTGTGTCATCATACTTTAAACAAAAGTAAATGATAGTTCCCACAGACTGACATTATATTTTATGGAGAATAATTACTACTTAGATACTTAAATGCTTATGGAACTTTGATTTCCGATGAGTCATACAAATCAAAAAGACGCTTACATATTTCGTTTCTAAGTACTGCGTATTCAGTAAATCGATTGCATTGCAAAACGGAAAAGTCGTGTTTCTGAAAAGATCTCTGCAGATGATACGAAAGGTGATAAGTGAATATTCAAGGACTATCGTATTAGCATCGAGGATATTTTTTTAAGAAAACAAAATAGTTTTCGAGTTTTAAATACTGATGAAAGTTATGATAACAATAAAAACAATATTTTTGGAAGTTTCAGTTTATCAATAAATTCGTTTGTATTAGAAATACTATCCGAAGGATGATTAGCTTGAATACCAATATTTATTTAATAATTACTTAGACTATAATCAGATTTGACTTACATATCTTCTTATAAGTACAAGTAGATGATGAATAATTTTTAATTAGGATTTTCATATCACAAGAGTTCGAATAATACTTTAATGATACCGATATGAATGACTACTGATAATATATTCATAGCAACTTCTCTCAGCGAAAATACATCCCCAATTACGTCCGTACCAATATGCTTTGGTTTCAGCCTGAACCAAACTTTCGTTTGTTTTGTACCACTGTCTTAAATATGAACGTATATGGTAAGTAAGAAAAAGTACCGTTGAATAGATAAGTCTCAGTGATAACTTTCATTTATATTTTCCGCTATGTTCTTTAATCTCATAATAGTTTTGCATATCAGAAAAGAGATTTATCGTAGAAGATACTATCTAATTCGTTGTAAAAATACTGGATAAGATAAGAATTCAGATGTTATCGAAGTTTGCAAATTCATTGCACAATTCTTATGTACACTAACTGATAAAGCTAATTTGGAGCTTTTGAAAATTAAAAAATTTTCAGTTACATACTTTTTCCAGTGAGACCAACGAGTTGTATTGTCAATTTTTATAATTTTTTTATTATTAAAACTAAAATATTCACTTTTCTCCATCCTTTGTTGCTTCAAGAATGGAAGCGGAAATTTTGGTCAAATAATTCCTTCCATTTGATAACACTGGTGTCATCAGTTCGTCCTTAATTAAATATAGATTTTTTTAAACCATTCAGTTTCAAGGCTACAGCGACAGAGTGGCATTAATGATAATTTTAAATGGAAATGTTTATCTGATAATATCAGTTTTGAATAACATAAAGAACGGTTTCTTAACGTTTTTTGTTCTGCTTCTATAAAGGTCAATAAATGAGTTTATTTAGTATACAAATTTTTCTTTTTTTGTATCTCACATTCAGCTAAGGTAAAGAAATTAATGTCCCTTCGAAAACTAAAAAATGAAAAATGTAGCTAAATTCGGGTAATCCCATGTGCGCCATCAATATTGTTCCAAGTTGAAACATACAGCCTTAAATCATAAACTTACAGAGTTTCTTAAAAGTTTAAAAAAGCTTTTCTCAGATAAATTGCATTTGCAGTAACCATTAGAAATTTGATAGTCATCATAATGAAAATACACGTCATCACAATGAAAATACACAAAATACACGTAACAGTGTTTTTTGCACTTACCTATTTATTTTTCAAAATTCCTTCATCTTTTAATAATTGTCAAGAAAATCATAGCATGACAGCATCTTCCAATGTATATTAATTCTATTTGATATCAAAATTATAGGCCAAAGTTCATTAAACTACAATTCCCATGCCAACATGTTGTTAGCTACCACCATTAATGTCACAATTACGCCATCAGTTAATAATAGTCAAAAATCTTACACCATAAATGTATTCACTGAGATGTATTTTATCGTCACCATCTGCTTCAATGCCATGCAAATTCTGACAACCGAAATGTTTTCTTGCTTCGACCTAAATTTATTTACTTTTTATGTCACTTTCAAGATGCAATCCACGGACGACTGTTTCTCACCCTTCAAATATGTATTCATTCAAAAGTATCAATTCAAAATGCAGACTTTGATTGCTTTGAACCAATTTTGAAGGTGGGTTCTTTCTTCAGGTAAAACTTGCTTGATTCTAGAAATTCCAAGTAATGTGCCTTTCTAGTAAGTAGTTCCTGAAGTTTTCGAAGCGAATGCAACAATCGATGAACCTATTACTGAGATTTGCGAATTGTCAAGATGCTACCTAATGTGTTACGTTTTGATTTTATGACTTCAGTAATTCGAGAAAAAAATGATAACCTTTAAAATCTGAAGAAAATTTTAAAACGGAATAACTATGCCACATCTTTTTCTCTTTGGTTTCCTAAAGAATGCCAAACTTATCATGCTCTAATAATAAATTAAAATTGGATATTGATTCAGGACAGTTTTAAAACAACGATTACCACTGCATCGTCCTGAAAATCCATGTAGGTTGCAGTTACTCGCTGACTAGAGGATTCATCAGTCCAAAAGAATTTTCGTGTCGTCGGAATGGAAGATAAACTATCTCCAGGGATTATTAAGCCAAAGCCCTACAAATTATCAAATCTAAAATTAAACGATCTCAGTCCTGATTTTGAAATAATAATATAATGCATTTCTATCATCGAAATTTCACCTTACATAATATATTACAATATCTTCAAGGAAATTTATCTCGTATATGTCTAACTGTAAAATTATAAATCCTCCAATATTAATGACCAAATTTCGGGTCATTTTTCATTTTTAAGAGAAATGTTTGGTCAGTTTAGCCATATGTTGTCCAGTTCTAAAATATTTCACATTGAACGAACTAATTTTCCTCAATTTTTGTCGATTTTATGATATTACCACAGGAAAACCAACCAAAGCATGCATTATTTCGTGGCGAAATAGGTCAGTAATGGCGCGAAAAGAGTTCCATCGATGGTTTAGTGGACACAATACCAATCGGGCAGCTGCTGGACTAGTTCATCAAAGGAAATGTAATGTTATAGTGGTAAAATATGAGATCTGATCACAATGGTGAATTTATTATAGCGTATATTCTAATGTTGACGTGGCAACACTCCGATCGATCACAATCATATATGAATTGTCATCATGGAAGAGGGCAACAGTATCAAACTGTCTTTAAATCCATCTTACTGAACATTAGCAGAATAATGAAAAGTTTCTATGCTTAGCAATTTGCAGACAAATTATTAGAGCATTAACTTATAATGAACAAAGATTTTACCGATTATTACCGATAAGAGTACAAGGTGTAGCTGCAGCAAGTAAACCATCATCTGCATGACATTTTTGAAGATCTACCTTGAAAAAGAAGGATATTGACATGAAGAGATGAATGTTTGTTCCATTGAGCTTACGGTCTTATTTTCGAAAAAAGCATAAAATGAACAACCTGTAAAAAAAGTAAAAAGTTGACACCATAAAATTTCAAGTTGACATCTTTTGTAATATCAAGCGGGTTCAATTTTTTCCAGCTGTGTACTGTTTCCATGAAGAATTCTCCAGTTGGCGGGTAGTGGTGCAAGACACATGATGTCAAACTTTTAGCGCTCAATCTATCGTCTTCCGGGAGATGCCATATATTTATGAACGATTGCATTTGCATAACGGCGGATCGTAAACTATCCTATGATTTTGAGATATTATATGCACCACTGCTTAATGATTATATTTATATATATTATTTGTATTAGGTAAGCAGTGGTTAGATTTAATTATTTATTGAAGCAATCTCTGGCAAACTCATTAAAACAAATAGATTTTATCATTAAAAAATATACTTGTTTCACTGAATCATGCAGGCTGGTATTACGTATAAGAGCAAAAGATTAAAATTTCCGAGAGACAAAACACCAATATCAGCGGATAGCAATTTAAACAGGAACGAGATTGCAATCCGTTCGTCACAGAATCTCCGATTTAAGTGCGATTTTAACAGTTTCAATGAAGTGCCGCAATGGATCAGGCACAGTACTCAAACACACCGCAAACTGCCTCAGAATCCATTCATTTCGTATGAATCTTAGTGAATTTCGCGTAACTAATTAGTTAATTATATCTATTAGAATAGATCTTCATTTATCCAAAGCTTATATAAACATACCAATATTGTTGATGATAAACCATGCATCTCTTTCTTCCTGATAATTCCAATATTTAGCGGTTCCCATCGCGCTACTTCACTTGATAGCAGTACAGAAGTAGCCACCAGAAATACTAGAACTGCCAATAATTTAGCAACCATTGGTAATTGTTAATAAGAAAGTGAGAAAAAAATGATTTTATTTTGACGCCGAATATCTAATGAATGAGTCATTTTTTATCATTTAAAAAAGCAATGGAAAGATATTTATGTAAAAACTTTTGCTATTCAAACATTTGTGAATATTTACAAAATTTCAAAATTTTGCCATTTCTTCAGTTTTTTTGGAATATTACATAACAATGAAGAAAAAACATTTTGAATCAGTTAAGCTTCTTATTAACTCATATAATATCGCGGTGATAAATTTAACTGATAAAGCTCAATAGCTGAACCGTGACCTGCAAGGTCAAATATTCATTGTAATATCTTCCGCTTCTAATATCAAATGATTTATAATAATTCATTTGAATGTTTCCTCACTGTATATGAAGAAAGAAACAAAAACGATTGTCATCATCATTTTATTCAAACTAACCTGCCATTTCAAATCTTCAGTGGTGGTGATATTTGTATGAAAATGACAGAAGAATTCATTGTAAATTTTTACAAACCAAATATTAGGCTACTTGTTATGCACTAAATGCAACTCCAAGTGTGGCATGAGTGAAGTATGCGAGACCGAAAAAGGAAAACAGAAACTAAAGTGACTCTGTGCTCTTTAAACTAAACTAAAGTTGCATTTCAGTTCGTTAAATCAGTAATTAGGTTACCACCATGTCCCTTCTGTTCCTGCTTGTACCTTCACTTTCATCACTGAAAATTATGCGTAATAAAAGATGAATGATTGATTTGAGAAGCGTGGAGTTTTCCACGCATTTTGGTCAATTTACTTACCGTTTAATGAATCAGATGATAAATTATCAAAGTTGAGATATGATAGATGTCTTATCTTTCTCTTTTACATGTTAATTTTAGTCGGTATTGATTTATTGACCAGTTGATTTGATTTAGTTCTGGTAGATAAACAAGTACTAGATAACTCTTGATGAAGCATCTATTCATTTCATTTCTTCACACTTGTAGAAACCGGCAATTTCCCTCAATGATTTTGATGCTATCTGCAACTTTCGAGATATTCACATATATACTGCAATGGCATCCAAATGAAAACGTGTTCAGTTTGTAATCACAGCTTTGAGCAAACAATTACATAATTTGTATATATATGTTTATACATAGGTAAAGGTAAATTACTGAGTTCAGATAAACAGAAAGCCTGAAAATTCTTCGAATTCTTTTCTATCCATTGATCACTTCCATTTATTTCTTCATGATTATTAATTATTATTACTGTTATCACTACTACAATCATCATCAATATTTTTAAATTTATTATTATTATTATTGATTTATTATTATTATTATTGTTATTATTATTATTATTATTATTATTATTATTATTATTATTATTATTATTATTATTATTATTATTATTATTATTATTAATTATTATTATTATTATCATTACTATTATTATTATTTTCATTACTCCTCCTCCTCCTCTGCCTTTTTCGCCTCCTGAGTTATAGTTGAGTCCTGTTTTATCCCATTTCACTTCCCTTGATTTTTTCCCTGTCAGTCATAATCCACAGGTTCTTTTAATAATAGGCTTTTACATGGCTCATGGGGTTTGTTCTAATACTAATACAGGCTTTGTTCTAATACAGAAGCTTAACTTCGGTTTTCATTTCTTTCAATGAGGAGAATATTTCAGGACGCATAGTCTCCCTTACAGTAATATTAGAAGAGAAGAATCGAATCAGAAATTATCACCCCCTCCTTGAATTTGAGTTTTTCTTCGTTCGAGTTTAAGTGTTTCCAGGGAATTCCAATTGTGATCCAATGTATTGTTGTTGAGAGGATCATTATAATGCCTTGTTTAGTATTCTTTTAGTAACGGTAAAAGTAATATACCGAATGAAGGAGAAAACTGTACTGACAAACACGACAACATGACTTCACGTACGAGAAACGTAATTTAAAGATTTAGAATAGCAAGTTTGATCACACACTCCTGTTTGCCTGTGAATCGGACAGGAAATATTCTTCTGGTGGAAAGCCAGTCACTGATGATAGCTATTTAGTAACGAAATTTTGATTTGTGAGATATATGGCATCGAAATTTATTGTTTACGAAATTCATAGATTTGAATTTCGAAAGGCCCAATGATGGAAATTTTGAATGTGCTATGAGATCACAAACCGAATTATCATAAACGCATACGTTATCGAACATGTTGTAGGAAGTTGAAATGTCCACAACAAAAAATGAAAAATGTAAATGAGATCAAAGATTGTCTGCTTGAAGGAGCGATCGGTTGCGATCGGTGCTTCTTTAAGATGGAGAAGACAACGACGTTTAAGGATGGTAGTATATACATTTTGATCCTTCCTTCTTCCTATAGGCACATACGCTCCTAAAATTGTTTACGACTTCTCATTTTTCCTTATTTGGTGTTGATGCATTTCATTTCGGACTGGGATATATGAGGATGAACAAAGAAACATCCCAATAAATTGTCCAGTTGGTCATCGATTAAAGAACGGCAAAATGCTGATATTTTTGAATTTGGAAGTTATAAACAGAGGTTATATGTGAATGTATACGTAAATGAAACAAATATTTGCAGTAGAAAAAGTAACGGTAAGCGATCGGGAGTTCCGTCTGAGCATTCTTAGATAACCTTTCCCTTGCCTCCATCAATTCCTTTACATTCAAATTTTCACTAGGAACCATTCTTCTAGATGAAACTCAAAAAGTCATTCCTTTTTCTTTATTTCTTCGTAGAAGGTTGAACGAATATCAAATTTTCAGTAACAAATATATCAGTCTGATTGAAGACAGATGATAAAGAATGATAAACCCAGTAATCACTTGGTATTTGATGAATGCTTAAAGGTTGAGAGAAAGAAGACAGAGGATGAAACAAAAGAAACAAATTAACCAAATGTCTCCAATGTCAATGAAACAGGAAACATTCGAATGGAAAAAGCAGCTTTTCGAAATATAGGAATGCGGCGGAATTGAAGTTTTCAAAAGGGAAATGCAAGAAATGATAAATGCAAATATCTGCAAACTCGTCATCATAAGGCCGCAATTTTAAAAATTTCTGCGGGAACGCGAGTAGTACAAAAAAAGTGTGAGTGGACAGAATAGATTAGAGATATTGGTTCCTCATTAGATCTCGTCGTCCGAGAGTGGACAAGTGAACAAATCCATTGGACACTATGGCTGAAGTTGGTTAAAATGTTCGTTTCTTCTCTTTTGAACAATAATTTTCTTTTAATAACAATACTTTTCATCAATTATCAGTGGAAAAAATAAATAAATATCATAGTGATAGATTAAGCCTTAAAATGTTGGATCACAATGACTCATAAATGATATCATTAGAAGGATCGATAAACAAAGTAAGCTCATTGATGCGAGACCCTTTAAAGGTGACAATATAAATCAATGTTTCTACAAATCAACAATTAAGATGTATTATGATTTCTGATACCGTAACCATACATATAATAGCTAGGTTTTATCAAAAGAAAATGATCCCTAATGGATCATTTAATGGCTTTTTAACATCTCTCTTTCATACTGTTAAGGGTAGGAAGACATGACATAACATGTATCATATTGGCTCAAAAACCGTTCTTTTTCTTTTTCTTTTTTTTTTTTTTTTTTGTAAATAATGAGAAATAAGACCTGGTGATAGGATAACAAACAAAAAGGTTGACATTTGAAGATGTACAAAGTATGACTGAAGAGAAATATGAACCAAGAAGGAAATTAGAAATTGATGCAAAATGAAGCATTAATCATTATGTGTCGAGCTTCTCGAGTTTCTTTCATATTTCCTCTTTTCACTTGCCTATCAAGTGAGTTAATTATAAATTGACCGAGAGATTTTGACTCTTTTTGGTAAAAGCTGTTGAAAGAAATTCGCCGACAAATCAAGACAATTCTAAAAAACAAAACCCATAACAGGATGTACTCATCGCCTAATAATTTCAAAAGTAACTTTGATTGCCAACAAATCAACAACAGAACGAATCCTCAAATGATAGTCGGGAATCTAATTGCAAATTGGGTAGGATGTAACATCAATAATTAGTTCAATCATGTTATGATTTCGTTACTGACCTCTGTATAGACATAAAATGCCTAAAAAACACTCAAAGCTCAAATATGTCCAACAAAAATGATAAAACACTAACGCATCATCCTTATGCTCTTAATTTGAAATCTTTGAAACGAATAAAATGTGGGCAGATTTTCATCCTCTTCTTCCTTCTACACTTATGATCAATCATCCGTTAAAAAAAATCCTTTGATTACATGGTTTTAAAAACCCTCTGACCTCCTGACCTTCTATCAAACTTACTTTTCATTTGATTTGAAATCATTTCTCCTTCTTCCATTCAACATTACTAGAAGTCTTTCAGTTTTTGCTGTCCTCACTTCCCCCTTCATTTTGCAAGTTTCAAATTATTTTAGCAATTACAAAAGGTAACAAAATTGAACTGTCATATCATTCACTCCCTCTCTTCCCATCAGTTTATCATCAATGCATTCGCTGCATCATTTCGTATTAATCTTTCCCAACAAAAATAATTGTTGACAATTTAGGATCCCTGCACAAAATATTACAATAACTGTGTGATTGTTTAAAAAAGAGAAAAAACTGCGCCAAACAAAAGGAAACGAAACGAAATGAAATGAAATGAGATGAAATGAAGTGAAAGTGAAATAGAAAATGGAAATGATACAAACTCACTCTTTACAACTGATAAAACACAATATATACTGTGGCAATAAATTTGTTGTAGTTTTGTTGGCGGCGGCAAGATAGAACATTTTCCATACTTTCAAACCTTTTCAATTCCGCCGTCTTTGCAATTTCGCTTTTTTAATATCTTTTTTTGATTACATGCGCACAAAGAAATTCAATCGCAACAAAATGATTTCATCTCTTCGAATGAGCATCGATTTATGCAACATTTCTCAGTTAGTGTTTGTCCACGTTTCATAAATGTTGTCAATGCTGCAAAATAGAATAATGAACGTCACCATAGCTAATGCAAATTTAGAGAAGACTTTTCCAACTCCAAAAAATGAATAAAAAAAATGATATATTTGGCTTTAAATCCGACTTACACACTTGTTTTGCATACCCTGTTATTAGATATTTTCCATATGCGAAGATACACATATGCAAAGATGATAACGCAATCTTAGAATGACAACCAGAAATTATATCAGTTTATCAGAATAATGCATCCAAAAGTTATCACAAACAAACCATTCAGTTTTTCACCATAGCAATCTTAGGATATGCCATTTTGAACTAATTATGTATGGTTTCAATTTGGCTTTTATCAATAGACGGTTGGACCAAGAAATTGTGTAAATGAATCTTAGCTGGATGAGTTCACCTGTAGGACTGTTACACTTGAAGAGATGAAAGTTATGGTCGCATTTAGTATGCAAAGATACCAGTGATCTTTTTCGTGCCTTATTTTATACGTTTCAATTTCGCAGCTCAATTATTCATAATCTTGAGTTGGGATTATCATCGTTATACCTAATGCCAGAAACGACTGATCATACGCGGTCACTTATTCTATCTGACAATTTAGGTCCTAGGCTGTTTATGCTATTGCTAAATGCATCCAT